GGTGGAGCAGCAGCCTGCAGTGGAGTTTTCCTGCCTCAGAAATGTCTAGAACAATCCACCCTCAGCTGTCCAGATGTGAGCACCATCAGGGCAGGTGGTCAGGGCTCACTTTGCTGGTGTAAGGAGGCTGGGAGCGTGTGTCTCCAAATGAAGAAGTGGCATCTACCTGGGACCAGGTTCTCAGAAGGGAGCTCTGTGGGGGACAGTCTCTGTCTGACCAGAAGATAGGTTGTAAGTGGGCACTAGTTCAGATGCAGTACCCATACTAATATTGGTTTATGCGCCTCCACATGTATGGATGATGTGCACAATGCACTAAATCTACCAGGGATAGTCTCTGCCAACACAGAGATAGTCAAGGAGGGAGCCTGCCATTGACTCAGAAATGGAGCATGTGCAAGTCCATTTAGGTGTGCAATGAGCCTGGAGTCACAGGGGTGTCCAGTCAAAGGACAAGGATCCAGATCAGAGATGAGGCTTTTGTCACTCCCAGTCCGGGCTACCTGCAGGCTAGTCTCCACACAGTCATGGCACAGTTAGCCTGCTCCAGGAGGTGGGGAGAACATACCAGAATGTTTGGCTGTGCACTTGAAACTAGAGCGACATTGCCACAAGTCTGATATCTGCCACCCCAGGGCTGAGGTCCAGGGGAATACCACTGGCCAATTGCTGGGCTGGGCACAGGTGACAGTAACTGCCCTGGGAGATTGTGGGGACCCAGAGGGAATAGCACCTTTTTTATTATTAGCTACTGATGTAGGCATCATTGTGGTCCTGGATTCGTGGCCCAGTAAGAAAGCTCCTTGCAAATGTTCAAAATGGCTGCAATGGGTTAGGACAACTAACAATTAATCACTCCGTGTGTCTTCTTATTTGATATTTTCACTTGATGTCTTCATTCCATTTATAAACAACTTTTTATTAATTTCCCTTGAAACTCAGGGTTCCAGAATTATAGCCTTTATCTGTTATCTTTGCTTTCTGGTGTCTTAATTATAGTCTGGGCTGCTGTCTGCTTACACCACCATTTTGCAAGAGACTCACCCTTATGTATATTGTTGTTCTTGTGTACTGTCGGGTTGGAACCAACCATAGCTGACCCTCCAGCAGGCTTTCAGAAGCAGTCAATTGCACAGGAGAAGATGGCCTCTCTTTCTCTCACAAAGCAGCTGGTGGATTCTAACCATGGGTGTGGCTGTTATTCTATGCTTTCCCATTATACATTTGTTCTTTCTTGACATGCCAAGCATTCTTCTTTTATAATTTCTTTTCTGCATTAACAATCTGCTTTATTGTTATGGTAACCCAGGAAAGAAATGATGAAAGAATACTTGGGTATTTTTGAGTCAACTACAAATCATAATGATCCTATGAACAACAGATCAAAACTTTGCCTTATCCTGCACCATCCTCATGAGCTCCAGACGCTCAAGGCTATTGTTAGTTACTTACTGAACAAATCCATTTAATGATGGTGTGTCTTAGTATAGATTTCCTTGTTATTGTTGTTAGGTGGCTTCGAGTCAAGTACATAGAAACCTATGAACAACAGACCTGAACCCTGTCCTAGCCTGTGCCATCTTTATCATCTCTGACACCCTTGAGCCCAATGCTACTATCACTGTGTCAATCCATCTTGTTGAGGGTTTTTCTCTCTTTCACTGCATCATGTCCCTTTCCAAGGAATAGCATCTACTAGCAACATGCCTAAAGCATGTGAGATGACATTTTTTCATCCTTGCCTTCCTGGAGCATTCTGGCTGCACTTTGTCCAAGACATACCAGTTTATACCTTTGGCAGTCCATCGGATATTCAGTACTCTTCTCCAACACCGCAGCTCAAAGATATCAATTCTTTTTTCTGTCATCCTGATTAATTATCTAGCTCCCAGATGCATAGCTAGTGAACGAGAAGACCGTGTAAAGCCTGAAGCAGTCTCATCTTATTCTTAAAACTAATATCATTGCTCCTCAGTACTTTGGAGAGGTCTCTGACAGTTGACTTACCCAACTCTGTACATCTTCTGATCTCCTGATTGCTGGTACCAAGGGTGTAGATTGTGAATCCAAGTAAGATGGAATTGTTGACTATTTCCATTTTTTCCTCTATCATGCTGTTGCTTATAGGTCCGCTGGTAAAGATTATTGTCTTCTTGTTGGTGAGATACAATCCATATTGAAGGCTGCAGTCCTGTCCCTCTGCAGCAAATGTTTCAAGTCCTCCTCACTTTTGGCAACCAAGCTTGTGTGAGAATGCCTCACATTTTCCTTCATAAAGTCTAGCTTCTCAAATTATTTGCTTAGAGTACAGACTGAGTAGGTATGGAAAAAGGATATAATCTTGACATACACCTGTCCTGGATTTAAAGCCTTGCTCTGTTTGTACAACCTCTTGGTCTAGGTATAGGTTTTGCATGAGCTTAATTAAGCGTTCTGGGATTCTCATTCTTCTCAATGTTAGCCATAGTTTGCTATGACCCAAACAACCAATTGCCTTTTTCTATTCAATGAAACAGAAATAGATATTATTCTGGTATTCTTTCCTTCAGTTAGGACCTATCTGATATCCAAATGCCAATATTAAAGTGAAAAACAGAAAATGTCAAAGGACAGCTTGAAAAGACAAGGCAAAATATTATAATGGAATGTGCAAAGATCTGGTGTTAGAGAATAAAAAGAGAATAACTCACTTGGCATTTCTCAAGTTGAAAGAACTTAAAACCAAACTCAAGCCTTGCTCTTGAGTTGCAATACTGAGGGATGCTATGGGCAAAATAAAAGATTTGTTTTATTTTATTGTTACTTTTTTGCATGAGAAGATTTTTCATTCATATTCATTGTATTTCACACATTCCTTCATTCACATTGTGTTTCATACAGTTACTCCTAAACATTGTCTTATAAAATTAATCACCATTGATCTATGCTCACTATTATCCTGTCTTTTTCCAGATCCCACTAGACCTCCATTCACTAAACTCTTTGACCTTGCAACTTCCCCCATCCCCAAGATGCAGCCACTCTCTCCCCTCCTCTTCCCTCTTTGAACAGGTATACACAACTTACTAGTTATCCTTCACTTTTTACAATAATGTCCTTGTGTATTATTTGTAGGTTTACTCAGTAAAATGCTCTTTAGCCTCTCCCATAGTATAGTATTTTCTGAAATTGTGGCTCCAGAGTGCTGCATAGTATTCCATTGTGTGAATGTACCACAGTTTCTCAATCCATTCATTTGTTGAGGGACATTTGGGCTATCTCTGTTTTCTTGCTATTGTGAATAATGCTGCTATGAACATTGGCTCATCTTTGTTTGCATCTCAGTTCTATTTCCTCAGGATATATTTCAAGCAGTGGAATAGCTGGGTCATATGCAGTTTCTATGTTCAGCTTTTTGAGGAAACACCAAACTGCCTTCCAGAGTGGTTGTACCATTTTACAAACCCACAGTGTATGGGAGTTCAAATCTCTCCACATCCTCTCCAACATTTATTTCTTCCTATCCTATCAAACTTCATACGGGCAAATCATGAATGATTCAGGAAACATCAAAAGAAGACAGAAGGAACACAGAGTCACTGTACCAAAAAGAATTGGTTCGCACTGAAAAAATTTCAGGACATATGAGCAAAAGCCCATAGTAATGACGGAAGATGTTTAAGCTGCACTGAAGGCACTGTCATAAAAGAAGAATCCAAGAATTGATGTAATGCCAATTGACACGTTTCAAACAACAGATGCAGCCTTGGATATATGATCAAATTTAGTTTCTAAAAAATAGTAGTAAGCGACAAGGTGGAAGGCAGCGGTCAGCAGTCGAGGTTTCCCTAAGGCAATGAGAAAAGAGTCACAGAAAGCCATTTAAAAAGAGTCGGGATGTCAAGATAAGAGTGCCTAAATGCGGCATAAAAGCCACGGGATCGATAGATGAGGGATGTGCTGAGGGCAGCCAGCCAGCACTGTGCGAGGATGCTGGGCTCAGGCTCAGGTTTGGGCGAGTGGGTTTTGAATACAGTGGGAGAGATGCTCACCAAGAAGTCGGATGGGCAGCACGCTCAGCTGAGGTTGTGCCTTGGGGAGGGTCTGCATGGTGCATTGTCAGGAGCTTGAGGTGTGGCGCGGAGGACTGAGGAGGGAGGAACTATACCCAGAACAATGATGTGTTCTGATTCCCGTCCTCCCTACTGTCTGCGAGCTGTGGGCCATACAATGTCTTATTAATCTCTGTCTTCCTGTGCCTGGCACAGGGCGGGTGCTCAGTGCATCTGGGAGGTAGAGAGGGCAAATGACGCATTTCAGGAAGGCAACGGGCAAAGTTTTTCCTTTGTGGAGGCTGCCATAAATGGAAGAAGGTGTTACTTCTTCAGTACCGAGAACTGAAGGGCCAGGAGAAAGAAAGATACATAGTTACAAATTCTGGCCCTACAGAGCGCTGCGGAGACCCAAGGCCTGGGAGCCGTCATGGACCTCCATCCTTGCTCTTGCTCCCAGCTGGTCCCTCGTTGCCATGGGGATGGGAGGCGGTTTCCCTGGAGACTGACGACGAGGACCAGCCAATCGCATGGGGCTCCCGGGCCTCCACAGCTCACCGCGGGGCTGGAGGAGCCACTGGCCGCGCCAGCCTTCATATGCTCCTGCGCATCCGCGGGCTTGGAGAGGCGGCGCCGCGGCTCTTTGTTCCCGGAATCTCCTTCACCCCGAGGTGTCCAGAGGGTAGGGCACGTACCCAGATCCCGCCCCACCCCGCCCCGTGTCTGCCCTTCCACTCGGCATCTGTGTAGAACCGGCCAGCCAAAGGGCGCTGCCCACCTGGACGGTTCAGGCACCACTCGGTCCGGAGACCGCACGGCCCCGCCCGCTCTGCGTCCGCAGGCCGCACACGCGCACGCTCCCTCCGGGCGCCGACGTCACGCGCCCCCTCCTCTGCCCGCGAGGGGCGGCGGGCGGGATCTGCAGGCGGACGCAGGGACGGTCTGACTCCGGCTCTGCTCGTCCGGGCCATGCCAGGGGAGGCGGCGCGCGCGGAACTGCTGCTGCCCAAGGCGGGCGGGCCTGGCCAGCGCACAGGTGAGGTCTTGGCTGCGTGCAGCCCCTCTTCGAACCCCCGCGAGGCTCCTCTCCCGGTACCTTGGCCTTATGCCCAACCCACCTCGCTCCACCATGGGCAAGGGCGCGGCCAGGGGCCGTCAGGGTGGGTGTCCAGGACGGGAAGGCGTGGCGAGCCGGACGGAGCAGCAGACAACTGCACCCCTTTGTCTGCGGGCATCTGCGGCGAGGTCGGAGGAGGGGTAGGGAACCGAGCTTGGGGCAACCGACCAGCAGCGACCCCTGAAAGGTCGAGCTCGCACATCCAGCCTCCACGGGGTGTAGAACTGGACAACGGAACGGAACCGCATCTGGGTTCTTGGAGCCCGACTAGCCCACCCGCTAAATTGCCAGAGGAGGGCCACCCAGGGGATCATGGGGGCGGGGGAGTACGGGACTGCCAGGTCACCATGCGGAGCAGCAGCACTAACTCAGAGCCTCGACACGCCTGTGCCGAGGGGCAGGCTGTGTGAGGAAAACTTCCTGGAACCTGGGATAGAGACATTGGGGAAGGAAAGCAGGAATGGGGCAAAGCCCCAGGGCAGGCCTTGCTGTAGCTGTTAACAAGACCTAGTGGAAGTGAGGGGATCAGGGAAGCTCAGTAGTGGCGTGGCCCAGCCTTGGGGCGGGGCGGAGGGGGCAGCAGCTAGCCGTGGCCCTGGAATGGCCAAGGACACCTTCCTCAGTGGTCCTGGGCTGGGCCCGTGTTGTCACCAGAGCCTGCTCCTCCTAGGGCCAGTAGTGGTGAGGCTTCCAATCTGGGGTATGTGTTGCCTTTGCTCCGGGTGGCCTGGTGACCTTGAACAAACCTTTGCTTTCAGTTACCCCCTTGCATTCTGACCTTGCCCAGTGTCCCCTTCTTCTCTCTCAAGAAGACACCAAAATGATGGCCAAGGATCAGTCTTGTGGTCCCAGTTCCACCCTGCAGCCACACCCACTCCCAGGTGCTGGGTTTCAGTTCTACCACAGCAGACCCGAAGCACACAATCCTAGCCTCTCAGGATCCTAGCTGTCTCTGTTTCCTAGTTCCTGAAGGAACCTGAAGCAGAACACTCTCAGGATGCATACCAGCCAGCCCCATGGTTGAGTTCTGACTGGCTGAGGGCACACAGGCATCTTGGCAAGGAGGGTCATGCCCTTCTAAGCTTCCTCTCCTAGCTCAGCAGAGATCTGGCCTGCATGCTTGTGCCTGTGTGGATAAGAAAGTGGAGGCACAGAGACGTTTGGTCATTTGCTGGAGCTCTCACAGGGTGTGTGGTAGAACTGGAACTGGACCAAGACTGCCTGACAATTTGCTCTCCTGGGAGCCAAGGACTAGGCCTGAACCTTTGGTATGAGTAGTAGGGCCTTCAACTTGTTGGGTGTCTAGACCTGAAATGTAGGTGTTCATACTGCTGAGGGGACATCCCTTGATTGGAACCTCACAGTCACTGAATAGCATGTGGAATAAACACTATGAAGAAAGGTTTGCAAGTATTGAGTAACATCAGCAAGGTTCAAAAGGGATCTCCACCAGTAAGTCTGTGAAAGACTAAAGTAATCTGAGCAGAAGTCGGCTGTAACTGCATAGTATTATGCTCCCTCAATCTCCCTGGTTCTTGATTTGGGGCCACAATTGGGTGATTCACATCTTGGGAGCTGTCAGGTGGATAGCTTAGTTTTCTCTACAAACAGGTACTGAGATGAGGCTGTCATAGGAGAGCACATGCTGGTAGGGGGTGTAGCAGAATTCACCCTGTGAAGGGTCTCTGGTGCATCTGTTGCTACCGATTCCTGACGGACCATGCAGAAAGGCACAGCACCCCACAGGCCAGTGTTGGCTCTGTGGAGCCACCTGAGGTGGCTGCCATAACCTGCAGCCTCCTCAGTCTCTGAACCAGCTGGCTTTCTTAAGCTGGTCTCGCAGGACAGGGCAGCCCTTATTCTTTCTGTGTCCATCCATCCTGACCCATGAGAGGGCCCGATAGCTTGTTCCTGGTGTCACCACAGCTATGGTGCATGCAGGGCCCTCTCTGGTCCCCTTCTCCTTGTGCCAGAGGGCCAGAATTTTGTTGAGGCCCTAGCAGGTTAGCCTATGTAGGCCTAGATGGTCAGAGGTGGCATGGGAGGAGTAGCTATGGACAGAAGGTGGAAGCTCCACCCCCTTCCCCCAAAAAAGAACCCAAATTTATTGCTGTCAGATAAGAGCTGACTCAGGTCACCCACCATAGGGTTTGAGAAAGGATTGCCCTTTCTCCCCAAGAGCTATTGGTGGATTTGAACCACCAGAGTTGCCATGTTTAGGTTAACACACCTCCCTATAGACTAGGCCACAAAGGCACCGCCACAAAACATAGCAAGTATAAGAGACTACTATGGGCATATATTTGTCCTTGTTACATCTGGTTAGACCAGAGGAGATCCAATGCAGGACCCCTCTCGGGGTGAGATCTCTGCCTTGCTTTAAGTGGCTAGTCTGTGGAGAATTTGGGAGGAAGAACTTTTAGGCTGCATACAACACAGACTCATAACTGTGTTGTAAAAGCAGCAACAAGCCATACACCCTCCATAGAAGAAGGGAAGCAAGTTAAATATTTACTAATGACAGCCACTTGTAGTCCACAGCACAACACCCACAGGCCTCCTCCCAGCTCCTGCCCCCCTGAGCTTCTAACATTCCTCCCTTTGCAGTCCCTGCTGCTCTCCTGCCTTGCCCTCTGGACCCTTTCAAATGTAAGCCTACTGCACCTCACCTAGGCTGGAGTTGCTCCTCAGGAACCACAAGGCAGCACAACAATGGAAGCCTGCTTCTCTGTTTAGCTCATGTCCTGGCGTGACCTGAAGAGACTACCCCACATCCCTTCTCTCTCGCTGTCTCCACAGATTTGTCCTGTGATATTCCTGCTGCCACTGCCCCAAGTAGGGACCAGCTGGAGCACTGTGGCCCTTTGCCAGCACCCAGGCCTGCGGCTGTCACCTTCCTGCCCAGCAAGCCAGGTGCCCGGCCCCAGCCAGAGGGCGCGAGCTGGGATGCAGGGCCAGGCCCAGTGGCCTGGGTGCTCCCAGCAGAGTGCAGTCCCAGCTCAGCCCCTGCTGAGGGCCAACCTGTGGAGGCATCCCTCCCGGCTCTGGAGCCTCGGATTGTGATGGGTGAGGAGACCTGCAGGCCTCCCCCTCTACCTGGGGCAGCCTCACCAGTGCTCAGGGAATGGGCAGGCGAATGTGGAAGCCTGAACCCACTCCCAGAGTTGTGCTCTCAGGGTGACCCTCCTGTGCCTTTCCCTTGCCCCGATCCTGATCCCTACTTCACTCCCCCATCAACCCCAGGCCTTGGGCTATGCAGGGAAGCCTGTGACTCCGAGTCAGAGCTCCCTGAGTCACCATCCACCTCACCCTCGGGCTCCTACTTCACAGCAGATGGGGACAGCTGGGCCTCCTCCCCATCCTGTTCCCTCAGCATGCTGGCCCCCACAGAAGGACTGGACCTTTCCCCGGGCTGGGGATTCTCTCACCCAGGCACTATGGTAGAGGAATGGGAACCCCATGCTGCTGGGCCTCCTGGCCCCCACTCCTCTGCTTCCAGCCTCTCAGCTGACAGCAGCTCTTCCTGGGGCCAGGAGGAGAACCTCCTTGACCTGGATTTTCTGGCAAATGATCCAATGATCCCTGCAGCCTTGCTGCCCTTCCAGGGCAGCCTCATCTTCCAGGTGGATGCAGTGGAGGTCACTCTATTGGCCCAGTCCGAGGAGGAGGGGCAGGAGAAGGGGACAGCAGAAGCTAAGACTCCCAGCCCAGGTGGAGACCTGGATGAGGCGGGCGAGGACAAGAGCACATCCACCTCCTTCCTGCAGTCATTGTCAGATATCTCCATCATTGAGGATGTGGATGAGGCCTTTGCCTTCCGGGACGATACCTCAGCAGCCTCCTCCTCCTCAGATTCTTCTTCCTACACTGGGGCACATGATGAAAGGCTGTACAGTGGGGAGCCCCATGCCCAGGCCAGTGCCCTGCTCCAGGATGGCAAGGGTCACAAGGCTGAGGACACACCAGACAGCTGGGCCTTGTCTTTGAGCCAGAAGAGGTCCATACTCCCTGTCTCAGCAGAAGACATTGCTAAGAGAACACTGGCTGCTATGCTCCATGGTGAGGAGGACTTCCTCTCAGGCCAGGAGACAGCCCCTCCACTAATACCTCACACCTGGCTGGCAGAAGCAAGCCCTGGTATGAACCCAGAGCTAGCTGGCATGGTCCCACCTCTGCTCGAGGATGAAACTGTAGACTCTGCAGTAGGACAATTAGTGGACGACATGAGGGCAGAACCTCTGCTCACACTCGCAGATCTCACCTTAGGCCAGGTATCTGGAGGAACACCTCTGATCTTTCAAGAAGGGAATGCTACCATAGACCACAAGCCTGCTGCTCCACAAACACTTGAAACCTTGAAGGAAGATATCAACCTCACACCATGCCCTGACCTGCTCACTACAGCAGAGGCTCTTCAGGATGAGAAGGTGGGCCTAGACTGCAGCCCCGAAGAGGACGAAAAGGCTGGCCTAGGTTGCACCTCCGGACAGGAGTCTGTGGCTACAGAAACACCTGTGCACTTGGATGAAGGCTGTACTTCATGCCAGGAGTCTAAGACAACACCTTTGACCCTGCAAAGAAAAGCCAGCTTCACCTTACCCCAGGAATCCATCTCTGTGACACCTCCTGCCTTGCAGCAAGCAGCACTTCCCTCACAAGAGCCTGTTCCTGTTACAGTGGCAGTCCTTGAAGCCCTGCAGGGCCAAATAGACTGTTCCCAGGAGGCAGCACCCACTGCTCCCATGGCAGCTGTGGCCCAGCACAAAGGAGGTGTGGCCCTAGAACTGACGTCTGTCCCTGAGCTTATATCTGTGGTAAAGGCAGCAGCAGCACCTGTAGCTTTGGACCAGGCCCCACAAAATGGAGATAGTCCCACTATAGACTTGGATCTGAAAGTGGAAGCTGTGACCCCTGGGCCCTCAGGAAAAGATGCAGGTCTCACCTCAGAGTGTATTCCTAACAAGAGGGAGGGACAGAAAACAAGGGGCATCTCAGGCAGTGGCTTCCAGAACAGAGATGATGGGGCTCAGGAGCTAAGGAGCCTCCTCAAAAGGACCCAAGGTGCTGGCAACATTCCAGAGAACAGCTGCCAGACTGTGGATCCAGCCACCAACCCTGAGCTCATCCAGGAAAGGGACTCTGGGCTGCTGGCCTTGGTGGCCTCTGAGGCCAGGCACTGCTCCAGCCCAGAATCTTCTGCGAGGGCTGTCCCTGAGGCTGGCAGGGGCTTCCCAGGAGAGCCGAGGCCTACTGCAACTCTATCCTGGCTGTTGCAGCCTGGGGCTGGGCCCAGCCTCAGAACCCCTCTGTCCAGCCTGGCTGTGGAGGAGCAGGCCCCTTGTCATGGCCAAACACCCTGCCAATATCTGGGACCCTGTGTGCAGGGCCTGCCAGTTGCAGCTCAGGAGAGGCTCCTGCACCCCGACACCCCTTCACCTCATCTCCTTACTGGGGCAGCCTCTGCCCCTTGCCTTTGTCCAGGGCCTGGAGAAGGCAGCAAGGACCATGGGCCTACAGGTGTGCCACCCATCCAGCAGCCTGGTGGCACCCCTTCGCACATAGTGTCTGCTGACTCAGGAAACCTAGTGCCTCCTGGGGCTGGGCAGCATGCTAGCTTCTCGGGCCCCTCATCCCTCAGTCCCCAGAGAGCCCCTGCGGGGGGCCCCCATGCCAAAGACCTCCCCGCTCGGATCATCGCCCCCTGTCAAGTGCCTCCAGGCTTGGGACCCTGCACCCAAATCAGCTCCCAGGGGCTCCCAGCCTCTGATCCCCAAGAGGACCAGGACAGCCTCGAGGAAGGTAAGGGGAGATGGGACAGGGGGGTGGGCTGTGTGCCCCCACACCTCTTAGCCATGGAGGCCATGGTTCCTCATTTCCCTCGAGGCTGCAGTCAGGCTGGGCCTCAGCTGGTCACCTTCCCTCCCTCAGACACCCCTCAGGCTCCAGGCTCAGGCCAGCACTCGGATAGTCATGCAGAGTTGTCAGCACCTGAGATGGACGAGCAGGACCCTGCAGCCCCTCAGATGGCACAGTGCCCCCCACAGGTGTCCCTCCCTTACACTCTGGTCAGGGGGATAGTGGACCTGAAGGGTGGATGGCCTGCTCCATGCCCTCTGGTGCTCAGACCTCTCTCCTATGTCCAGGCCTCAGTGGTGAGCAGCAGTGAAGAGACCATTGCCAAAGCCAAGCAGAGCCGCAGTGAGAAGAAGGCCCGGAAGGTGCGCAATGCATGGGATGGTCCTGAGTGGGTTGGCCAGCCTAACAGCTGGGTGGGCCTGGCTGCAGGAGGGGAACAGTTGTCAGACCTTCCATACTCCACCACTCAGTGCTCCACAGCACTGCCCATCGGGTTTCCAAGGGTAAATGCCAAGAATCTTCAGACAAATGGAGCAGTGGGATCTCCACAGGGTCAGAGTCAAAACAGGTTCAGTGATGAGAGCATGTCTCAGATAGGGAAGGCCAGTGCTGCCCATCCTGACTGGAGGCCAACAGCAAAGCAAGTCTCCATCTCAACCCTCTCCCTGCCCCCAGGCTATGTCTAAGCTGGGCTTGAGGCAGATTCAGGGCGTGACGAGGATTACCATCCAGAAGTCCAAGAACATCCTCTTTGTCATCAGCAAGCCTGATGTCTTCAAGAGTCCAGCCTCTGATACCTACGTGGTCTTTGGTGAAGCTAAAGTCTGTCCTGGCTGTGGTGGGGTTAGGGTGGGAGCTTGACACACACTGCCCGACACCTGGCCTTTATGTCCTTCCAGATTGAGGACCTGTCACAGCAGATACACAAAGCTGCAGCAGAGAAGTTCAAGGTGCCCACTGAGGCCTCTGCCAACACTTCTGAGTTGGCTCCAGGGCTGCAGGCAAAGCTGGAGTGCCAAGAGGAGGAGGAGGAGGAGGAGGTGGAGGTGAGGCTGGGAGGGCAGCTCGGCACTACCTCAGTGGCTCCGTAGCTTCCTGCCACCACCTACCTCCTTCCTCCTGCAGGTGGATGAGACAGGCCTGGAGCTTCGAGACATCGAGCTGGTGATGGCCCAAGCCAATGTGTCAAGGGCCAAGGCCGTGCGGGCCCTGAGGGACAACCACAGTGACATCGTTAACGCCATTATGGTGAGCTATCAGCTGTACTATGTTTCTGGCTGTCCTAGCCAGAAAGCACCCCTGCCCAAGGGCCTGTGATCACCTTTGGGTTCCCTTTCTCCCTGTTGATACCTCTCTGTTTCCTGCAGGAGCTGACAATGTAGCCTCCAGCAGCCAGCCTCCCAGCCATCCCCAGCACCTTCTTCCTAGCACTGCTGCTTAATAAACGTGCACCCCTGAATTCCACTTGTGGTCACTCTCCATGAGTGTCTGCTCTCTGTCTGCATGTCCAAAGATGGCCAGCTCATCCAGAAGTAACACAAGTCCAGCTACTTAGCCACAGTGGACTCCAGCCCATAGATGTGTTTGGATGGAGCTTTTAGAAGGAACTTTGCAGAAGCAGGACAGTACCAATAGAGGCCTCACAGGCTGGAGAAACAGCCTTTTCCTTTCAGCAAAGCAACAAAAAGCCCCCCACCTTGGCTTCCTTGTCTGGGAAGGTGCTCTGGGCCTTCTGCACAAGGTTTTCCTGGCCCAAGAGGCCCTGCTTCTTGCATCCCCACCAAGGACACCCTCTCTCTGGCAAGCCAGGCAGTGGCCTTCAGCATGGACTGCTCCCTGGGGTAACACAGGACATGCATGCACCTGAGTATGCACTCAGTACATATACATAGGGCATAAGCAGGGACAGTGGGAACAGCCCAGTGTAGACTTGGTCTCAGCCCGGGGAGGGGGAAGGCGGCTCTCCCACTGGGACCCAGGGGTGATATGGAGGACCTTCCAGTGGGTTTTCAGAGGCAATAAGTTTCACAAGAGGAGAGTAGCCAGCTTTCTCCTATAAAGCAGCTGGTGGATTCAAATTGCATGCCTTTAGGTTGGCTCCCTACCAAAAAAAGGGCTCTTTATGACTATCTTATGCTACTTCTGGATGCTCCCATGTCTATTTGTATATAAGTTTTGAGACAGTATTCAAAACAAACTCTTCACTTAGGCTTTTCCCTGGCTATGCCTGAGGTCCCATGACCAACCTGGATAGAGGAGAGGGGAAGATGTCTTTTCCAAACACCCTGTTGTTCTGGAGGGTCCAAACCCTGGCCCTCCCACTCCATTTCTTTCTGCTCAGGACGAAACTTGAGGAAAACACCTGGGCTCTGGTGTTAACACAGCAAGAATGTCCCTGGCTTGACAGGGTCTCCACTAATAAAGGGCAGTGGGTGAGGACAGGGCCTGGGCAGCATCTGGAGGGGCATTCTGCAAGGGCAGAATTTGAGGGAAAGTCCAGGAAATTTTCTGTGCCTGCATCACCTTCAGGCTGAAGAGTGGATATGGACCCTCAGACAGATGAATTGTGTCTTGAGGAAAGATGCTTACCAGCTAAAGGTCACTAAGGAAGTAAGTCCAGGCAGAACTAACACCAGTGAGCTCAGTAGTAAGCCAGGGCCCAGACTTCCACTTTAAGCCTCTGGGATGTGACAGTCCACTGAGACAAGGTCCTCCAGTGGGCAGTCGCAGCCAGCTGGAAGTCAGGTTAGTGAAGAGGATGAGGGCGTATGTCCATGCCGACAGTAGTGACCAATGGTGGGGCAGAGGGTTCCTGCACAAGGAGGAGGGGCTGGGAGGACGCATGCTCCAATGAGATGGTGGGTGCTTCTGGAAGGCACCCCTGGACTGGCCTGGTGAATGCTGATTGGGCAAAGCCTACCCATGGCATCAGGACTACAATGTACACAGCACAGACCAGTAAGAGAGGAGGTGTACTGGCCCTTCCTCACTTGCTCCTCCCTATCAAGATTCAGTGTGCCCTTTAGAAGGAGACTGCCCAGCCTGTGGGGTCAGCGCAAGGCCAGGAACAGACCCTCCATGCCTGGAGGACACTTATCCACCTGGCACCAGATGGGTGAAATATACTTAACAACAAGAGATGCAGATGATTCACATTGTATCCAATTTTAAAAGGTCTCTGAGAGTTACAATAGGAACATGATGTGCAAAAAACGGAAACTTGTACAGGAAATAACAATGAGTAGGCCAGTTCTCAGAGCTGGCCCAGCCTGTCTGTACCTTCCTGGGCAAACACTGCAGAAGTGGCTTCTGGAGAACAGAGAAGCAGCCTGGGCCCAACTCCACTGCTGCTGTGTGAAGAACCAGGCCTGGTTCACTATGTCATCTGCCAGCTTGCAATACCAAAGCTGACCTTTCTCAGGGTGGCTTGTGGAAAGTGGCCAACCACCAGCTTGTGATGCAGCAGCTGACACATGGAGGGTGGTTGACTGAGCAGGAGGAAGGCATGCCTTCCACATCCTGCTGTCCCTGTCCCCAAGGATGCCTCACGCCGAGTCATGGTCCAGGCTGCAGCCCAGGGCCTCAATGTCATTGCTGATGTCTGAGATCATGCGGTCCCATTCATCGCCTTCTGAGGGCAGAGACTGGTCGTCGGAGCTGCCTGCAACCCTGTTCCCATTGGTAGTGGAGCTAGAGGCAGTGCTGGCGGCTCGTCGGTACCTGCCAAAACTGTCTGTGATGATGCCCCGGCCATCCTTCACCCCGATTGTGTCCAGGAAGTTCTCAAAGTGCTGGCTGTCCTTCTCGGGAATGAAAGGCCGCAGACCTGTCAGAGACAAGACTGTCATGACCCCATCCAACAGGTCACAGACTCCACTCACCAACAGCCTGAGCAGCCCTTGGCACCCCCAGCCTGTTCCTTTGGGTCAGGGACATCTGAGTAACGGGGGCTACAGGGATAAGGGCCAACAAAGGTGGAGTTCTGAGGCCTCAGAGAAGTTGGCTTCTTGCAGGAGCTGCAAGGCAGGATGGTGGTGGGAAGTGAGCTGCATTAAGCGATGCCCCTCCTGGACAGAGACAACAAAACCCAAGGCTTGACTCTTGATGCAGGCTGGATTCTTGCTGGAGTCTCAGAGGACAGGGATGCAAGTCATCCACACCCACTGTCTTTAAAATCACTGCCCCAAACTTCAGTGCTAATGAGAGCCAGCTTCCAAGACACACTCCCTGTGCTTAAAGCCTTGACATAGGATGTTGAACGACTTTGGTTTTCCAAAGAAAGAGCACAACTTAGGCAGGGGAGGAAGTATCCTGGGAGAGGAGTCCTGGGCCAGAGCTGGCCTTGTGTGCTGGCTCAGTGGGACAGGCAGGAATGAGGCAGCACCCACAGGCCCTCCTAACACCTTAGGGCTCAGCATATCAGAGGTGCACGTCAGACCCAGGATCCCCCAGCTGTCACTCACTAGCTGTCTGTGCAGTCCTGCCCCATACTGCCCACCTCCATATCGTGTGTGACTCACATGGCAGAGCTTGGATGGTACCAAGGCCAAGCTGTATGCCCCAAGCTCTTGCACCTGGGCAAGATGAGCTCTTCTGCCTTGAGAAGCTGTGCCTGCTGTGTTCATGCTGCCCACCTCCTTCACACACCCACAGCCCTCTGTGGCTGGCAAACAGTGGCTGTCCCACTGCCTGAAGACACCTCTGGGCCTCTGTAGGTTATGCTCCTATGCTCCAGGTGAAGTAAGGAGTGAGGATGTGGCACTTCTTGACATATCTCTAGTCACTAGGAAAGCACAGGCCAACCAGAACTACACAGTCTCCTAAGACCCTTAGTGCTTGCTTTTGGCAACTTTCTGGTTAATTCTGTTACAATGCAACGGCCACTACACACTCACCCAGCAGCAGAAACTTGCGGCTGTCCCCATAGAGCTGCCGAAGGTTGATGCAGAACTCGTGGATGGAGGCCCCATTACGGTACTCATGCAGCAACATGGCAAACTGCTGGATCTCTTGGGAGGAGAGCTTGGTGCGCAGCTGCAAAAAAGCAGAACTGCTGGGGCAAGGCAGAGGGCAGGCAACCCCACCTCACACCTCTAACCACAACCCTGCTGGAGGCCTGGGCCATTTCCTTGTACCAAATAGAGTCACAGTGTGGGCACCAAGCTGTGGAAGTTGGTGCCAGGTTTACACAACCATAATCAGTACCACAGCCATCATCCTCCTGTGCTGTCCTGTTATAGCAGCTGAGACCACCTAGAAAATGGCCAAAAGAACAGTTCCACCATGTGGAACACCTGAGCTATAGGGACACTGGCTTTTCGTGTAGGGAGCCAAGAAGGACAGGATAGTCTCCCCTGACCCCAGGATATGTAGGAGCTCATTCTTCCAGCCCCACACATGGAGGAGTAGTTTGCTTTGCAGGTTCCAGTTCTGCCTATGACATTGTCCTGGAGCAGCTGAGCGGAGTTAGCCAAGAAGGGGCCACCATGACCCCTAGCTGGAGGTCAGCCCCACCCACCTCCTGTCTGAGGAGTGGTCCTGTCAGCATGCAGTCTTGCAGCAACCACCTTCCTCTTAGCTGGAGGTCACCCACCACATCTGTCTGAGAAGTGGTACTGACAGCATGTAGTCCTCCTGCATCCACCTGCCCCCTAGCTGAAGGTCACCCATCACCCTGTCTGAGGAGTGGTATTGTCAGCATGCAGTTCTGCAGCATCCACCTGCCCTCTAGCTGAAGGTCACCCACCACGCCTGTCTGAGGAGTGGTACCGTCAGCATGTAGTCCTGCAGCAGCTCAGTGGCTGTGGCACTCAGCTCGCTCTCACTGGCCGTCTTGGGGTGGGGTGATGACGGTATGCAGAAAGACAAAGACGACAGGCCACCTCCATCTGTGGGGTCAGGAAATGAGCTGCAGAGGACAGAGGCATGTGAGGCTGGACATAGGGCCCTGGCTCCCTTATGTTGCAAACCCTGGACGTACCAGGGCCAGGTAAGAGATAAGGGAAGGGGCTCTACTGGGACCCAGACACAGGCTGTCCATGCCACAACACCATGATAAGGGGTCTTCACAGAAAATACCAAGGACCAAGGGAATCATGCCCTTAGCAAGTGTTCAGCAGTGGGGAGGTGCTGAATAAAGGCACAGAAGGACAGGAGTCCTCGGAGCCTGGATCAGGCACGTCTATGCCAGTGGAGTACTCAGGAACAGAATCGAGAACCACCAAGGCATGGAGGACCAGGCATTCGCTGAATGGGAGCCACAGGCTTGGGACCTGGGCTCGATCATGAGTGAGGTGTGGACCTGATTAGCTGACTGCAAGGGGAAGGCAACCCCAAGACTATCAGTGATGTGGGCCAAGTAAGGTGAATGCTACTCACAAATTGCTGGCCTCAGTCTCATAGGCTTCTTTAATGTCCACTTTGGTGGATGAGTCATCTGTGAGGAAAACATGAAGGCAGAGACTTTCAGCTACACAGTGATGAGGCCTACTGTCTAAGCTTTAAGCACTAAGCTTTAAGCAGGCTGATGTCACCATCCACTCAGCAAACTCCTGACCTGGTCTGGCTTGGAGCCAGAGGCAATGTGACTCAGGCTGAGTGTGAATGAGCATGTGGGGCCTTGTCCACACTCATTCTGACACAGGTGACCAGGATGCTGACCACAGCAGCACACACACCATATCCTTTAATCCAGGAAAGTATCCCCAGTGTCCTCTGAGTAACTGACTCACAAACCTAGTATGAACAAGTCACACTCAGCCAACTCATCTAGCACCCTACCTGGATGAGGTAGCTCACCCCTGAGGCCTAGCCAAAGACCATGGCATTCACAGACCCCTGGCACTGGGACCAGGTGCACTGCAGACAGCACCTCACCCATGTGACATATTGAGAGCCAGTCAGGGTAGGGATATCAGACGTGGCAGTGGGACAGATCTGAGAGGAAGGTGAGTATCCAGGCACAGGACTTCAAATAGTAGTAGAGAAGGGGATAAGGGGGAAGGGCTATTTCCTGCAGTGGGGACAAAGTAAGTGTGGGTTGGTAGAGCAATGACCCCCAGAACCTGTGATGAGCATTTTGCATGGAAGACAAATTAAAGCTGCAGACAAAGTTAACACTGTTGAAGAGCTCACTCTAAGGCAGAGAAATTATGCTGGTTTATCCAGGTAGGTCCAAGGTTATCAGAAAATAAAAGGCAAACCAGCACCCTGGTGTTGTCTCTCCACAATATTCAAGGCTGTGACCTTATGGAAAGAGACTGGTAGGCCCAACTTCCAACATGCCTCAGGTTGAGTTCAAACTGCCAACGTCTTGATTAGGAGCCAAGCACTCCATCATTTGTACCACCTTAGGGAGTGCAGGTGGCCTGGTCTTTAAAGAGTGACCCTACTAACCCAACGGTCAGTTGAAATCCACCACTGGCTGCAAGGGACAAAGATGAGCAGTCTACTATTGTGCAATTAACAGCCTCTGAAAACTCGATGAAGTGTCAATTGTTAGTTGCTTCTGATTTGACAACAAAGAGAGACTGTGTGAGTGAAAAACAGACTCCAAATCTAGGGTCCTTAGGTGTAGAATATGGCGTCCAGCACACAACAATGTGGCCTCTGAGCCGAGGAGTGCAGTGCCATGGGGCAGTCGAAAAAGACAGGATAACAGGATTTCTTTGGAATGCTACAGACACTCCTAAATTCACTCCTGTAGGAACCTGTCAGAATTCTGACCCCAGTACCACATATAAGACAACACAGATGCACGCCTGGTTTCTCTTAGGGTGCACAGTGTGCAGGCAGGTTCTCAGGTGACTTGAGCGGAAACTCACCACGCAGTAGCGAGTCAGGTGAAGAAGCCCATCAAGGGTGCACACACTGCAAAACACTCCCAAACTGCACACTTACATTCTGCATCTTTTTTCAGAAAAAAATAAAAAATTTCAAAAGTACTTAAAAATAAAACTTTTGGGAATTTTAAAGCACAAGGGCCAGACAAATCACACAAAAATATTATTTAAATCTGCCACTAGCTAAATGGGGAGCTCTGGTAACCTGGTGGTAAGAAGCTTAAAGTCCCAGGTTCTGATCCACCAGTTGCTCTGTAGGAGATGGATGGGCAATCTCCTCCCATGCAATTTACTGCCTCTGAAAACTTGCTGGAACTTTTAGCCCTGAGTTGGATAAATCAGTCATATTACAAAACTACAATAAAAGCTATGTAAACAGATACTACTTATTAGGTGTCCAAAAGCCCGTATTCCCCCTTTAAAATTGCTAAACATGGATGTGCTAAACATGTCAAATGCCCAACATACATTTCTCTGCACAGATCCCCCAGTTCCACATGACACTGCTTCCATCATGTTCTTTTCTATAAACCAACGTTCTGAGTCCCAATAAACTGCTTACTTCAAGCATCACTACACTTATTTCTCAATGTTGGAAAGATTTCACTAAAGTGAGCACATCCATAACTGGAGTATTTTGCCTGAACTCCTTTAGAAGGTTCCAGAAAATGCTTTTGCTAAAGAGGCATCAGGTTCACTTGGAACCTCCTGAAGTCCGTTTAGTTCTTTCCTATCCATCATCCCTGGCTCCCAGACAGTCTATGTAGGCCACTTCTGTCTCAGTGTCCTCTTAGAACTGACCCCACAGTCTGGAGAAGCAGGAGAGCTTGACATCTGCCCCTGTGAGATTTCCACTGTCAAATTTCCTCCTGAATCATATGACCCATAATATGTCCACTCTTCAAGATCTTCCTGCACCATCTACCTCAGGAGATGGACACTGTCAAATGTCCTCCTGCACTTTCTATCTGATGATATGGCCACTGTCCAAGGTCCTCCTGAACCCTCTACCCAGGAGATGGCCATTGTCAAACATCCTCCTGTACCATCCACCCCATGAGATGGCCCCTGTCAAATGTCCTCCTGCACCATCTACCCAGGAGATGGCCACTGTCAAATGTCCTGCACTGTCTACCCTGTGAGATGGCCAGTCAAAGACCTTCCTACACTGTCTGCTCAGAGTTAGGTGAGGTGCCTTTAGTCATATGTGGTTCCAAAAGGAGTGTTCAAGGAGCTTAATGTACCAAGACACCATGAAGCTATCTGGGCCTTTCCTAAGAGTTCCTTGAGACAGCAGTGAAGTTTCTCACTAGAGTGCTGTGGATTAATAGCTCAGATGCTCCAGGTAACAGAACCCTCACTCTGCCACCCTCTGCCCCAGCAGCATTTTCTTGGAAGGACGGGCTCCTAGAAGCAAAGGGCTCATCCTACGTACCACTGTGCAGGGAAAGGTGGTGTGTAGGTGTCGAGGCTCCATCATATATTGCTCTGTCTAGAAAGTCGATGGTAGATTCCGTATAAACCGTTTGGAAGACCTGGCTGAGCAGTGAGCAGAGCTCTTCCGCAGCTCCCTGGGTTGGGGTGAGAACAGCAGCTGCTTGGTAAACAAAGTCGGCCTGCTATTAATCACACATCCCCTGTCTTTCAAAGTGCCCAACTTCTGTAGATGCTCAGAAATACTGCCAGATGAACAGATGGGTACTATATGAGTAGGTGTACAAAGTGCAAAGTTCAAAACCAAGTGTCTCTCTGCCTTCTACTTCCAAAGGTATTATCATGCTGACATCCCTGGTTTCATTTACATGAAAGGTAATCGGCAATGGCTTCACATCTGTAGACTCCACAGGACAAAGGGGAGGGGAGGACACTAACTTCCTCCCCACTCATCTGACAGCTCTTCCCCCCAGCTCCTACCCCAGCCTCATGAAGAAAGGAAGATGAAGGAACAGGCAGCTCAGGAGAGCAGCACAGGTGGACAGCACAATCACGAATTGGGTAGCAGAGTCTCAACCCAGGGGAACGCCACCCAGAGTTTCTGTAGTCACATCGGGAGTTTTATTGTCACACCAAGGAGTGCTCATGGCACTTGGTGGGTAGAGGCCAGGGATGCTGCTGACTTCTTCAATGCATAGATGGCCCACAACAAAGACCTTATTAACTGCTATTACGATCATCCCACTTTCTGGCAGTCTCGTGTGTGCAGAGCAGAACAGCTGCACAGGGTTTGTCTCCAGACTGCCAGTCCTTTCTTCCAAACCAATAACTACCTGCTTGGAGATGTTAACAGGTGAGAGAACCCTGCTCTAGGACGGCTCATATGGTGGGCAGTCATAGGAACTCATTCACAGAAAGATGTTACGTGACCTACCCAAACTCCTATCCTCATTTCCTCGAAGCAGGTAGGACGTGGAGTTCACCATCAAAGAAGAGTGAGGCAATGGGAAGGCCAGTGGCCAGGCAGAGTCTGGGACTGGCACAGCTTGGGGGTAGGTGGCAGGGGTAGTGCAGATTCTTACTTTGCTCTCTGCAGCCAGGATGACCAAGCAGCATGCTTCAACGGGCACCATATTGCTGCCTGACAGGGAGCTGGATGCCAAGCCACGGGAGCTCTCTGCACAAAGGCTCTGGCTGGGAGAGATGCCGGGGTCCTGGGCTGAGAACACACATTGCCTCAAGTTAGGCAGTGAAAAGTGCAGTGTGCTGCCTGCCGGGCCAGGCTGGAATGGTGATGTGCCGTGGGGGAAGACCCAGCCACCCAGCCACCACAGCCTGCATGAGGCCACAGTCCTGGGGTGTTCTAGAGATGAGCCAATGGCCCTGAAGACTACTCCAGCTCTGGTGGCAGTCTCTCTCCCACACCACCTCAGGAAAAGGACAGATCTAGACAGGCTTGTTCTCTAGCAGATGAGATCTTATCGTCTGCTTGTCATCTCTCACAGGGAGTTCATTCTTCCTCTTAATCTATTTTCCTTACCAATTCATTCTATCAATTAACAATGAAAAGGACTCACTTAACAAAGAAACAAGAATTGAGGAGCTATCAGCTTCCCTCCTCCAGGCTAAACCACTTGTAGCATCCCATTTAGAAACCAGCCTCCCTGTGATCTCTGTTTCTGAGGATATCAGACCCAGGACCCCTGCAGGGACTACTTAGGAATGTCAGCAAGAACTGTTAGAGCTGGTTAAAAAGCAAATATTCTGTGGCCAGGCAGATTTAGTTTAAAATAATTTACCAACTTTGTGGCTTACTCAAGCTACTTAATTGATCTAATCTCTTCTGTAAAATCAGAGTACAACAGAATTTTTTTTTCAGAGTACAACAGAATCTTATAGCTTAATTATGAAAAATTACATCAAATCTTTCATATAAAATGCTTTTTATCTTTTTGAATGATTGTAAATTGCCCTTTTTTGTAGGCCAAGCTGGTTAAATGCAGGATATTTTATATGGTAAGTCCTAATTTAAACCTTGCCATTACACAGCAGACACTCACTCTAGACAAGGAAAGAAAACAAAACGAAGGTCCACACTCAGCAATGCCAGTCACAGCAGAGGTGGGACCAGGAGGAATATGTGAGAGTGTGTGTGACAACATGAGTATAGAGAACAACACGAGGGTGAGGGTACACGTAAGGCTGTGTGTGAGCATGGGAGTGTAACCATGTGTGAGGACACGAGGGTGAGGGTGGATATTTGTGTAATCATGTATGAGTGTGAGGGTACACATTAGCACATGTAATAGTGTATGAGAGTGTATGTGAGAACATGAGGGTGCACGTTAGCACATGTAATCGTGGTGAGAACACTGAGGGTGAGGGTGCACATGAGGCAGGTGTGTGAGTGGGCACAGTTGTCTGTATGTTACATGGAGTAAGTACGTGAGCATGTGGGTATAATCATGTGAGAGCATGTGAGGGAGTGTAGTGGGAAATGTTACACATAGCAACCAGAAGAGTCGCTGTACCTCACAGGGCTGCCTCAATCATGTGTGACACATGACAGACATAGGGGGACCGTTTTTACAAACTGTCCTTTAGAGCCCATTAACAGTGGAGACCTTATAACTCAAGTAAGAATGAGAAAGTTCAGCAGAGATGGCTTTTTAAACAAGCCCTCGCATCCCTAATGAAGAAGCTCACATAAAGAAGCATTTCTCCTTTGCATTCAAAGCCAGGCCGATCCCTGACTGACTTAAGATCCTCTACCACCAGCCCTTCAAGACAGTGCAAAACAAGCCTCAAATCTAAAGCCAAGGAGGAGTGAGGCACTAGTTAAGCTGCCATCTTTCTGTCCACAAACTAATACCAGGACCCCAAGCCTGAAGAGCGTGACAGTAATCTGTGGAGCTCATGTGCTCTCTCTTAAATAGCATGTTCTCTCTTTTCATTAGAAACATCAACAGAAGCAAAGAGGAAGTGTACAGTTAATGTTTTTCAGTAAGATGGGGTCCCAATTCTAACTAAGTGCTCAGTAGGCTACCAGGCAACAGTTGTTTCCTGGCAAGCTACCCACAAACTCCTTGAAGAGTTGTACCTTATTGAGGCACCCCCAGTTCTGAATAGACTGTGTGGCTGCATTCCACCTACTCTCTGCTCACTGAGGTCAGGTCCTTCCCACCACATAGGCACTGCCTCCTTCCTTGTGCCTGGGTTCCGGGTATTACAGAACATGCTGGACTTTCAGCAGGGCAACAACACTGAGCGAGGGACAGGACACTGACTGACTGATACCAGTCCCCCTTATTTCTGTTCCTCAGTGACACCACTCACAAAGCAGAGTGATTTGGCTCAATTCTGTTTCTCAGTAACTTCCTTGCCCAGAGCCTGAGTGGAGGGCTGACTTCTTTTATCAAGCAAGAGCACTCTCCCCCTAGACTCAATTCAGACCATAAAGTCACCTACATAGCATCTTAGGATCTGTGCATGGGCTATTCTACCTCTGCATCCACCCTCTCTTTCTGTACCTGTCTTTAGGACAACCAGGTGTGCTGCGTCGTCCCGGACGTAAGAGACAGCAGCAATGTCATGGATGGGGACCCTGAGGATGATGTCTTCTCCATCTCTCCATGCCAGCTTGACATTGTAGGCAGAAAGACTGATCACAGCATCGTGTTCCTGGGTCAGGTGTCCAGGTAGCTGGTGAGCCCTCTGGAAAATTCCACAGTCATCAGAAATGCAAAGCCCGTCTCTGGGTCAGAGGCCAATACCCCTCTCCCAGGACATTCCTGCTCCCTCACTCCTCACCTCTACAGAGTATAAGTCAGAGGGCTGGTGCTTACATTCTATAGGAAAGTAAGACTGCTACTGTGAAGTCACAGTACTTTGAGGAGATTGCAGTGCTCAAACCAATCAGAAGATTCTTAAAAGAACTGCTTCTACAGTTCCAGCACGTTATTTTGAACATCCTGAAAATTTACATTTTTATAACTGCCCTAAACTGCAAGGAGCAAGTCTAGTGAATAAAGTGAACACTGAGACAAAGATACCTTTTAGGACTAAATGCAAGTTGTATCTATTCAGTAACAAAGCTGGACTATCCACCCCAAATAGGAAGGGTAAGAGCAGGGAATGCCAGAGTAGACCTAGGACATAGCATGGAGTTAAGAGGATGTGATTACCTTTGCATTGTCTATAAAATGAAGTATTTCAGTCCTACTGGAGGGATTCAGGTATCCTGGTATGGAAGTCAACTGACCTAAGTACTGAAAGAGATTGAAGAAAAGAACACTATGAGACTATGAGAAATAGCAGAGCAATCAATGCCATTCCAGCATGGAAGCCAGCAAACCACATGTCCTGAGCATTTCCAGCAGCAGGCCTGTGGTCTCCCTGGGATTATGCAGAACTCCTGTCTAGAAAGTATGTGAATTGTACAAAACTCTTCACTGAGTAGGATCACTGTCCCCATTCCTAAGAAGCTGTTATTTTGTTTTATCAAAACACTGCAAAAGGCATGTCAAGAAGTGTTTTGGTAGAACCTGGATTCTACTGATTATTTCAAAGACAAAGGACACTACTAGTAGGGACTAGTGGCATGGGCAATGACTACATAGTATTTAGACTCATGTCAACATCTCTACTACTTAAAATGTCTTGGTTTTTAATGGGTTATTTACTGATTTCTTCCCCAGAATAGATGTCTTAAACAAACAATTACAGTTTTTCATTAACTCACATATATAAATTGTCAAAGAGGGATAGAGTGATATTTCGATCTAAGAGGGGCACCATGAACATGGTCACTTCTTCTCTGAAATGACCAAGTAGGAACAGTAGGCAAGACAGAGCAATGAGAAATATCTCCTGCAGCCAAAGGCAGTTCCCTTCCTTCTCTTGTGAAGATAAGCACCACTATTTTATATATTTACTAAAGAGAAAAAAAAATACTGACACAATTATGATCATAAAGAACCTCTGATTGTAAGACATCTTGATTTCAGTTACATTATTTAATTAATGACCACAGACCTCATAATATCAAAGCTCAAAGGAACTTAAAAGTCTCTATTAAAGTCACATCTTTTCTTACATTCAGTTAATGCTTTACAACTGTCATCAACAATTACTTCGGTTTAAAATTCAACCCTGAAATTCTAAAACATGATTGGAGGATAGGAAAAAGTTTACATTTCTACTAATTTTAGAAACCCCACTCATCACATTCCTCGTTTGTAGTCCTCAATGCTTCACATAAGTATTTCCAGATAGGAAACAATGCTTTCTAAAGTACTCTAACTCACAAGAGCTGTGAGTTACAAAAAAGGCCCATGTTCTAGATCTCAGTAAATTTTCAGGATTAACCTTCCATTTCCTCATTTCCCATCTCTTTACTTCTCTTTTCTAAGACAGTTTCAACTTTGTTTTTCACTATTCCATGCAGTTTTAATTTCAACAAGCTATTTATTTTCTCTAGTTTCCTCATCTTTCTTTGGAATATCCCATTGTTGTTTAGTGTACACACTGTTTTTATCTTATCCTTCCAAAGATTTTTTAAAGTATGCATTTCAGAGGTATGTTTTACATACTGGGAAATGCATATTATCTTAAATGTACCATTTGATCAGCTGTGTAAAATACAGATACCCAAGTAATTGGCAATACTATCATCCCATCCAACTCTGGTGGCTTAGTGGTAAGGAATCATGCTGCCAAAACAAAGTAACATGGCTCAAATCCACAGATGCTCCACAGGAGAAAGATAGGCAATCTCCTCCATGTGATTTACAGCCTCGTCTGAAAGGCTCAGTTGTGAGTTGGTTCAAACTCAATGGCACAAAACAAAATAACATCACCCCACAGGGTGCTTTGGTGGTGCAGTGTGTCTGAAATTGTGTTGCTAACACAAAGCAGTGTCCCTCTAATGGTTTAAATACACCAAAGGAGAAAGATGGGCAATCTCCTCTTGTGTGATTTATAGCCTCTAAAAAGTCACTGGAGGCTCAACTATGAGTTGGTTCTCACTCAAGATCAATGAGTTATTTTTTTAATCATCCCATAAAGTTTCTGCAAGCCCCTTTCTCAGTTCTAAATATAAAAATCAAGCAATGCAAACTCTCCATAAAAGCATGGATGAATCCTCCTTTAACCTAGGTGCAGGGCAAAGTTATGTAACTACAATAAGAATCTGAAAGTCATTAATATGAAAAATAGATAAATAAGACTACATAAAAACAAAAATTTACATGCTAAGAGGCATTAAGCAAAGTCCAGAGAAAATGACAAAGAGAAAACAACTGACATATATCACAGATAAAAGAGCTAATGTACTTATTAATGATCATAAAAATTAAAGTGCAATCCCTAATTGTTCTACAGGGGAGAAAAAATGACCTAAAGCCCAAGACTAGGGGATTCACCCTAGATCAAATGAAACTGACCCCCCCCAACACTGTAGTTTTACAAGTCCCCTACAGATTCATCCATCTTCCTTTCTTCATCAAGATCATCTTGTTCAAAATGACTACATTGATGTGGCAAACAATGATTTCCTCACTTTAGCATTTCTTGGTATTTAAAGAAGAATTTTCTCTCCTCCTTTATTCTTTTTTTTTTAAATGATCCATGGATTCTTAATTTTTTAGTTTGATGTGACACTAGGTTTGATGACTTGGTCAATGGCCATCTAGAACAAAATTCAACATTCTTCAAAGACAACAAAACTCAGAATGTCTATAATATAAACTGAGTTCATTTGTCATTAGGTGCAGAGCCACCCTACAAACAATAGCAATCTTGCCCTATTCTTTGCCTCCCTCAGCCTCTGCCATGCTCAAGCCTACTGTTGCAATCACTGTGTCAACTCATCTCGGAGGGTTTTCTGCTCCTTTGCTCTATACTTGTCTAAGCACAGTACACAACTAAAAAGCCAGAATATATTTAAATAACACAATATGATCCATAATAAAAAAGAAATTCAGTGAATGGACATAGCTATATAAGGAACATATTAAAATAAAGGTTCTAGAAAAGGATCAGTTTATGAGACTGGACATTTTAAGAAATTTGTAAACTGAAAAATATTCAAATGGAAATTCTAAAACTAAAAAAATACATTTATCTAAAAAATTTAATTCGACAGTATAGTAAGCAGAATAACACACAAACCCTGAGCCCATTCTAATTCCTAAAGCAAGTGAATGGAATTTAAACTGCAAAAGGAATTTTGAAAATTCCTTCCATAAAGTCAATTTCAACTAAGTATTACATGAGTACTCCTCCCTATGGCTTTCTTGGCTGTAATCTTTTAGAAACAAATCACCACATTTTCTTCCGTGGCACCACTGAACAGGCTTAAATTGCCAATCCTTCTTTATCCCAGCCAGGTCAAGAATATCACCACAAACATGGATGTGTTAGGGTAGAGGATTATGGGGTCAGGTAATACATAAAGTTCAGACCAGTCTCTCCCAAGTTAAATTGTGTCCCTGAGTGGTCATGCACCCATGTTTTGAAAGTATAAGAGAACATAATACTGACTAGTTTGTAGATTCCTCACTTCTCACCTGTGAAATGAGAAAACTGAAGCAGAAATGGCCCAGGTGGGAGCCTCTAAAACCTGTCACATCTACTCCTGAAAAAGTATTGAATCAAGCACCATATAAAACAGTTAATATTAGTGTTGCTCTCAAACAGTGATTGTCAAGCAGCAAATATATTAAACACTCTGATCAAGCCAGGAAGTCTGCCACATGCATAACTTTAGAGGCCTCACTTCCAAAATAAAGGACATATTACACATTGCATTTTCTACTAAGAAAGATGTACAACATGGTCTGGTTCTTTGCGTTTTGGAAATAACAAGTCCATTTCATTGAACTTGGAGCTAGACAGGCTCTGTAGCAGGTCCAGGCTCCTCCATGGGCAGCTAGCCTGGCAATTCTGTTGTTGTTAGGTGCCATTAAATTGAATACAACTTAAAATGACTCCATACATACTGATACCTTGCCTAATTCTGCACCATCCTCACAATCTCTACTGACTTAATGCACTGTTACAGTCACTATGTCAATTCGTCTTAAGGGTTTTTCTCTCCTTTGCTGACCTTCTACATTATCAAACATGATGCCTCCCTTCAAGGAGCTTTCAATCAGGCAGAGCCTGAGGCACTGGAAGTATCTATGGTAGAGAAAGATGTCGCGTTGGGTCTCTGCTCTAGCAAATCCCACTTGGAAAGTCATAGTACAGAGTCTAGGAGCTAGGGAAAGATTAAACCATCTACAGCAGACTTAATATGCCAGTGCAAAAGCAGTTTCTGGTTTTGACCATCTGACTGTGGGACTTCAAGGCTGGAACTGTCAGGAACTCTTAGACCTACCAAGTTAGAAAATTCAGTATCCCTAAACAGCCAAGGTTTCAGGGTTTTCAGAGGCCTGCTATTTCAGAAGTGGGTGGCCAATCCTTCTTCCTAGTCTGTCTTAATCTGAACGTTCAGATTTAGAGGAGTATCTGACAGACAAGCAATTTGTGGAGCAGTGAAAGATAAA